ACTAAGAATCATTTGGTTTTCAATTATTCAACTATTCAATTGAAAACTAGTCAAAAGCAATAACAAGAAAAAAAGCTGAAAAGTATTAAGTATGGCATTTCCCTGTGATAACAGCCATCCTCACTTTATTTGTTATTTTGCCAACCAAGTGCACATAATCATTAGTCTGAATCATTTATTAGACTAACTATTCCAAATCCATCGTAAACTGTTTTAAACCTTCCTTACGCAAGACAAAGAGACAGCACTTCCCTGCAAACCAGTATTATTTACTATGTCAAAGTTCATTCACTCCTTAACGTAAGTCACTACATGTAAAAGAAACCAGTACAAAATTTCTACTTAAGCTTCCACTCAAAATTTCTCTAAGCCTACCAAATGAGAAGCTGCTAAGTGAGAGTACAGAGTTAGATATGTAACAATCTCCAGATCGTACCAAATTACATACTCAGTTTCAGCTTCCTTTTAAATGTAAAATATTACAGATCTGCTGGCTAACAAGCTAACTTATTTTTTATTCTGTTCCAGTAACCAGGCAACAGACAACTGTCCAACTGAGAATTATCCCTCTGAACAGCTGGCCATCAACACTTGGGGGGTTTTGGTGGTTGTTCTTTTTTTTTTTTTAAACTAGTAGAAAGACCAGTAATTCCAGTGATTACTTTACAAACCTACACAGCTCTAGATTCCACTCTGAAATCTCTACTCACTATTTAGTCATTTCCTTAGTCACATTATCCCTGAAGTTACTCATGTAAGTAAATGTTTATAACAGAATACGAAAAGCTTAGATATATACTTATGAAATCTCTAGTTAGCTAACGTTAAAGCTTTAGAAAAAAATCAGAAGTTGCAAGAATAATAGCAAGATGCATTTATTGACGTATAACAAACCACCTTCAAGAAACCATGACAACAGACAGCTAACGCCATTTTCGCTTCTAACTCCATTAATCTTTTTTTTCTCTTCTATAGCTGAAAAAGCATTATTTCACTTCGACATTATTTCAAGTTTTGATTTTTAAAAGAGTCTTCCCCACTAGACTTTAGGATATTTCTAAGAGTTGTAAATTAACACCACAACTTATTTTATAAAGGAAATAATAACGGTCAACCAAGCTTGATATATTATACCTTCCCCCTTCCTAACAGTTTAATAGGAGTAATGAACCTAGAAAGTGAACTTTTAAATTATAAATTCCTGTAAAATTGTGTTACTTACACATTCAATGTGTTTGAAAGATTTTTAAGAGTCAGAGTAAGAGACTTTTCAAAAGACCACTTGCACAAAGATTAGCTAGATGATCTCTCATAATACATGAATGTTTCAAAAAAAAAAAATCTGATACTCAGACACAAAACATCTCAAATACAAGTCAATTGGTAAAAACACAACATAGCCATGTAACACTTTATACAGTCTCCACATGAGGCGGGGGAGGAAACTCCCATCTTTTGTATTCTCCAAACATTTAGATCGCTACTGATTAGAGATCTGCTATAAAAACAACAAAGCTAATCTATTGTGAAAAGCAGTAAAACCTTATCCCCATTTAATTATGTTTTTATTAATCTTTGCTCTTAATATGATCTAATTTCAGTACACATATGACTTCATATTCCAATAAATTGAAAAACTGACCGAGCTCAAATTCACGCAAGCACCAAGTTCCGACCAGGCAAGATCCTGTTGCAAGATAAAGATGATGCGATGTAACATGATTTTGTGCGTGTGTATGTGTGAGACTGGGGGGGGGAGGGGGGAGCACAGAGAGAGAGAGAGAGACAGAGACATAGCAAGCAAGAGTGAATGCCTGCTTTTGGAATGGAAAAAAATACTTATGTCCACAGTAGGTTTCAGTTCAGCACCCACTATAATTCAGAATGGAGAAACAGACAAGACAATGAGAGCTTAATACAACAGAAATACTAACTCTTTTTTATATTACTCAAAATAAAACCATATATTAAAATAGCTTCACAGAATGGCCACTTTCTTTATGAAGGTCACGTCATTAATATTAAAGTAGCAGGACTACATCTGTATTTAAATTTTGGACCAGAACCCACTAGTCACTGCATACTCTGTACTTCTCTGCAGAAAGGTTCAGTGCCACTTAGTTTAAAAGTAGGACATATTTTGACATTTTAATATCATTTCCACTAATCTAGAGGGACAAGCCTGAACAGAAAAGAATAAGGGATAATCTAACCACAATAACCGAAGTCAAATTGCGGAGGTCCAGACAATTAGAAAAAGCCAGCTGGTAACCTGAAAAGAGAACAATATATTTTGTACTCAAAAAATAAGACTGTAGTGGACGGTAATGTATTTATATACTACTTCCTAGTTTGTAAACTAAAACCTTCAGTGAAAAGCTGTTTTTTCCTTCAATTTCTTGTAATTAGAGCTGCCATATAATTCTTCAGTAATTATGTCACCTTTGATGCACAAAAATAATTCCAACAGAAATCAGTCTGCATACTGAAGTCCTATATCACAGAGGAAAAAAAAAACAAAAAAACACACTATTAGATCATAGGAACTACTCATGACTTCTGTATTACAACCAACTTCTTCCTTTCCAAACAGCAACTTACTCAGACTGTGCTACAACTTTCCAGAAATACAGAAAAGTTTCACAGAAGCTTCGACGACAGAACATTCCATAGTGAAACATACATTAAACACATTTATAGTCACAAGCATCAGAGGTACAGACTAAGTAACTTCTATTCAGAAAACAGAATATTAGTTTAAAAAACTTTGCAAGAAAAATAAACCATACCTTTACATTAGGTATTTCACATGGTTTGTATTCCCTAACGCTATATGAGCACAAGCGTCTGGAAGAAACCCAAAAGCCATCAGCTCAGGGAATGCCAGGACCTCCGAAAATTCCATCGGCTGGTGGTCAAACGCAAACATAAAGACTAACGAGAGCTATCCACGCTGCAATCCATTTCTCATCCCTGTTCCATACTTTAGCAGGTATCAGTCACCAACTTAACCTTAAGACACTCATTTTCTGTTCAACACAACGCGGCTGCAAGTTCAAAGCAGACTACGTGAAGTCCAACTGGAACTTCACTTGCACCTGTTACAGGGAAACTGCTTGAGCCTCACGGCCCTAGTTATTTATATTATTACTACTGATTTTAAGAAAGAATGTGTTAATGTCACAAACGTTTTTACTCATGTCGTTTAGCTTACTAATTTTTATTTTTCAAAGGTTCTTCTGCTACTACTGCTGTATCTTTACAATTTGCTACACAAAAAAATATGTAATTCTGATTTAATCGGAAAACAGAAGAACTATGCTAGAGCACTGAACAAAAGATCTAATCTTTGAAGCGTCCTTTCCAAGTGAGTGTAAATAAACTGTAGTAAAATGAAAAGGCTTGTAATTTGGTATTTGCAATATTCTTCATAAACACTAATTTTCTGTAACATCCTTGCATATCTGATACCACCTCATGTATAATGCAGAAAATCTATTTCATTTTCATCTATTGACAGTGAATTTAATTTACTGTCGCGGCTCTTTACCCAGATTATGTTATTAATTCTGCAATCAGGCTCTTTTGAATGCTTTTATTTCCTCCAAGAGTTTTCACAATTCTACATTGACTTTTTTTTTCCACCCTAACATACCTTTCAAAATAAAGGACCATTTTTTCTAACTTTCTAAAGAAAACTGAAAAAGGAGAAAAAAAAAAAGACAACATGAATCGGTTCATAAACTGTGCCTTTCAACAGGAAAAATCCACATGCATCATTTGAACCTCTGACATTTAAGCATTATAGACTACATTCATTAAGAAGATGTACAACAGGTGCATTAAAGTTTCCACATCAAAAATCATCATTGTAAATAGACCCCAATCCCTCCATTAATAAACAATTATCCACTTCTACCTGACACTAAAGTTAGAGGATAGAAAAGCTAAATGCTCCAGTGTTAGTGTTCTGTTTACATCCATACCAACTGCCTTAACTATTTTGTAAATTCAGTCATCTTGTTAAACTAGATCAAATGCAAAGCAGCTCTTATTTTTCCAAGCGAAAAGAGTTGGTAACAGCTAATCAACTCAATTCTAAATCGCCTGTTGTTCTTAAAAATAACAAAATCAAAACACCAAAAAATGTATTAGCTATGTTATTATTTTGCATCACTTTTTAAAAGTCCTCTAGAATAAAGTTCAATTAAAGAATGTTAATTCGTTCACCTTTAGGAAAAAAGCGATTATTCAACCCAGAAGATAAAACCTTCTGTATCATTCTGTAAGGCTACTTCAGAAATCTTATAAAGGAGAAATGCTAAATCAGGTATTTATTCTTCTTATACGCAAGTATTAAAAGCTTGTTTCTTATGCATTAATACAGTTGATATAAAATACTCCTTTCTTAATTCATCCAAAGTATTTCACTTTCATAGCATTTTTCTTCCACCATCACGACAAAAAAAGAATATCTAAAGAGCAGCACTTGTCCTCTTTACTTCACTACAGAGCCAGTGAACAAAGCAGTGAAGCAGAAAGAAGGTACATAATGGATTTAAAGTAAATGGCCCATTCTTTAAGCAGGCGGCCTCTCATTTTTACCGATTCTAGCTTAATTGTCATTACAATGTCTGGAAACTTCAAACAATTATTTTTATGCCAGCTGTCAAGTTGGTTCCTTAAAGCCAGATTTAAAAAAAAAAAAAAGTAAAAACCAAAGCAATCAAAATGTTCATTTTTTTTTGTTTTGCAGAAATATTGCAAACATCTTTAAAAGTATTTCAAGCAGTTCTATTACTAGACAGTGCCCGGTCCATTCCACACACCAAGACAGACAAAACGTTTATATTCACCGTTGCACTTTGTAACATACTTTTTGGATAAATAATGCTCACAGCTGCACTGGAAGCTTAGGTCATCAATATATGAAACACACTGACACGTACACACATCTCCTGGGATTCAGAAATAAAGAATTGGCTAATTTTTGCACCTACCTGGGTAAAAATCTTTGGATTTAGACAGCTTGATGGTGGCCCCAGTTTCTTTCTGCAACTGAACAATTGTCTGTCCTCCCTTCCCAATTATAGATCCAGCAGCATAACTAGGTATGAGGACCTTTAGAAAATACTGGCCATCCTCTGAAAAATTGAGATATGCATGGTTAATACGGCTTACAAAGTTTGATTTTTCCTCCCCAGACCCACAAATTAAGAAATTGTTACATCTTTAAACTCGCCCAGTAATTCATGCATTTACATCTAACCAGTTGCGTCATTCTACAAGACATGTTTAGGCTATGCCTCTGACATAATGAAATATGTACGTTTATTCTGAGCAGATTAAAGAATCCACATAGATTCCTTAATTCTGTAAAAGAATAAAATCCAAATTATATTTCAAAGGCGGATTTCTTTTTCCCAATGGTAACAACAGCACGCAGAAATGATCGGACCCCTTCAAAAAAAAATAAAGCCCTGCACGAAAACGTGCCTAGGGAAACTACAACCTTGCTTGGAAATACTGCAAAAGAAATGCCAAAACTAAGAGGAATGAATTGTAAATTCTGATGGGCTATTTGTTTGTCATTAGCAAACACATGAGAATAGCAATTAGCTATTGCCTGCATTCTTCTTAAGTGAGCAAAACGACTACTCTGCTACCAAATAACCCACCCAAAATGTGGGGTTTTATTCCAAGCATTTCAGCCACTGCCAAGAAAACAACTCAACATGGTGCGGATGGAATCACTTGCCTAAGTAATCCTGATGTATTCCTTTAGCCCTTCTTAAGCGACAATGATCTCTTTTAAGCTCATTAATTAAAGGACATTAAGAAGAATTTTTCCCAACTGATCAAAAGCCTAAGTCACTTCTTTTAAATACACTTAAAAGGTGACGAGACAGACAATGCCAGTCCGCTACCCACCACTAGCGTTAAGGCACACAATCGGAACCGGGGAAAAGGAAATACAAAAAACATATATAATGAATGGAGGGGAAAAACAAAAAGGATTCCCGGTCTGATTCGGCAACTGCACGATTGTCTGTGCCCTCACCCCACTGCTAAATCCAGCTACACTCAAGTCTCAGGACCTTCCGCAGCCGGCTCCGGAGAAGTGCGAGACAATAAGGGCACGGCGGTTCCCCAGGCTCAGGCTTTCCCCAGTCACCAGGACAACGTCCCGCCGGCACGCGGCGTTCATACGCAGGTTTTTATCACGAAACCTGTTTCACAAAGTTGCTCGGTTTTTTGGTTTTTTTGGTGTGTCCCCCCCCAGCCGGGAGGACCGACCCCAGTCCCCCTCGGCGCTCC